AAATTGCTGAGTCAGCTACATTAACAGGTAGTGATAGAATTGCATGAGTATCCTTTTATATTGTTTTGACAGTGATTCTAGATTTTCCCAGTAGACAGTAGAATTTCTAAAACATAGAACATTATTGGAAATACAAATGTTTGTAGCATACTAACGGGCATACGATACAGTTTTGATCCCACGATTATTTTTACTACTTTTAAAGATAAATGGGGTCGAAATTATAGACATTAGGTCAACATTTTATTTTCTTGGAAATTTCTATCCTTTGGACATACATATCTAGCTTTTTTGTTTCAAAAGATAAACACTAGCAGATTTTTGTAAAACATCTGCAATATCTCCTTTACAAAAGTATGCTTTAAATTTATGTGACAGTTATTCGTAAATAATTCATTTAAATGAAATTTCCATAATTATAGAAAAAAAACGGCAATTTTTGCTGTATATTTATTTAATTTAAATTTTTTTTTTAAATTGGTGCACATGATCTTTATACATTATCGAACTCAATGTCATTTTAAAAAAGTGGGGTCCATGTTCTCGTTTACATGCTAATGATTAAATCAGTCGTAAAATACATCTTTTTCTGATAAGTCACAGTTTGACGTCGCGAAAAATAACATTTTACGTTGGCAACGTAATTATATCCCCTGTAACTGTATCGTATGCTCTTAAGGCGGTTACATAATGTTTAATATAAATGTAGGTTTAAATCAATAATTTTAACCGAATTCTAAAACTTTGAATCAAGTAATTAAAATGTTGTGAAAAGGCCTGATTTAATTGGTCAATCAGTATTCTCCAGCAGTTCATTGTGCATAGGGTATAAAGGTTATTCCGCATACAAACATACGTGGACAAACAGTTACGTGTACCTCTAGGGTACGTGAACAAATAGTTACGTGTACCTTTAGGGTATATGAACAGTGTTACGTGTAACTTTAGGGTACGTGAACGACCTGTTACGCGTACTTCCAGCGTACGTGTAACAAAATGAATTATACCTCGAACGGCCCTTCATAGTTTCAGGGTCTGAACCATGTAATCCAGGTAATCCTGTATGCATCATACTATATAATGACCTTCAGGCTTTTTTAAGGTTATCATCTATAGGACATCCTGCTGTATCGATTTGTCCCGAAGTGATATTTTTTGGTCAAAATAGGCATTGGTTTGTTGTTAATAGACCAACATTCTTCTACAAATTTTACTTTGTTGTTGGTTTTAATTGTTAAAATAACACTTTTTCTTGTTGCAGCAAATATCCTTCACGTTAGATATAGTCATATGCCATATTTATTATGTATACATCAACAAGTATATTTCCTGCTATGTCGTCTGCACAAAGAAAGGGGGGGGGGGGGGCACAAGTTTGAGTCTACGAAGTCGTTCAACAGTTGGTTTACATAAACAGAACTTTAAGTTCCTCCTTGTCTTACACCTTGTTCAATATTGAATGCGTAAGATACACATCCTTTTTATTCAACTTGAGTAGTAGCATCTCTGTACAGGTTATCAATCATTAAAATGCATTGTTCTCAAATACCCAGATGGTAAAGATTTCTATTTAGATTTATATGTCGAACTACATCAAAAGCAGATTTTGTGTCAAGCATTCCATATATTGTTGGTTTTTTAAAAAGTATTTATTTTCTCTTTTGAATCCCTCAATTATTATGGATGCAATAAGTGGATTAGAGTTTTCAGCCACACTGAAGGATGTTATGATATTCTTTCATGCTTGGGTTTATGCTCAGTTTGCGTTTGGTTTCTTTTATTTCTATAATGAATGAGTAATGGTGATGCCTCTATGATTGATTGAATCTAAACTTTCTCCCTTATTTTTAAAGAATGGTTCAAAAGTACCAGTTTTCAAGTTGTAAGATACATGTATATTATAACAGTGATGAAATGATGCCTTGTCTTGATGACTGAGCAATGTACTATCAAGTTTTCCTCTCTGAATAGAGGGCATTCTGCAGTAATACCAAGAATGTCAGCTGATTGGTTTATATTTCATTTTTGTAAGGCTTTTTAAATTTATCTATAGTTACTGCTTCATGTTTGTAGACATCTAGATATATTTGAATAATCTGAAAATATTCGGAGTCAACCAAATCAAGATAGATCAAAGTGTGTAGGATCAAAAGGTTTAAATTCGCAAAAAAGGGTCTTCCATCCTTCTAGGATATTGTTGTCACCTATAAGACAGGTTTCACTTACTGGAAGTTCATCAATGAATCGATGAAGAACAATCATGGATCACAATTTGGGGACTTTTTTGTAAATGGGATATCACAACTCGGATATACGTCCTCGTATAATATCCTATAAATCCTTACTTAATTTTTCATAATAGTTTAAAGTGGTACAGCTTACCATTTTTATTACAATGAAAAAATACGATCTACATAAAACCATCTTAGAGACAAACTGAACATTTTCGAGAGTGTAACAAATTCCAAAATTTGTATGAATATTTTTAGTAAAGCCGTTGCCGCCAATGTTCCTCCAGAAATCTGTAGTTATAGAAGAGACAGTGCCAATAAACGTTTCATGTATAACGCATGGTAGTAGACCTGCAGCTAATTTTACGTGGATTATTGGACAAAATAATAAAGATGTTACATTAAACTCTTCCGAAAGTATGACCTTAAATAAGTCCACAGAAACGTTTACAGTTACATCTACGTTAATCTACAGAGTTGACAGAACCTACAACGGACAATTTGTAACATGTAGTGTCAGAAAGATCATAAGCAGTAATATGTCATCAAGCGAACTGCTCAATATTAAATGAAAGTAGATTAAGCAGATCTCAATAATCACATGAATCAATGTACAAGAGAATTGTTGGTTAATGCAAACTGACCTTGTTAAAACTTGTGCTTTATCTAAAATATAAAAAAATCAATTGCTTTTCATTTCGATTTTTCAAACAAATTGTTTTTTGATTTCATGTACTGTATGATTTGGTATTCACAATTTTTGTTTATGATGTTGAATTTCTCCATGTAAAATGCTTAGAGAATATCATTATATTCAGCATCAAATAATTTCTCTTTCTCGAAAAAAAAAACCCCAAAACAACACTTTATAAATGTAATGTGTCTGCAGCGCTCTTCTCTTCAAGCAGCATCGGTATCAACCCAGTGCTGTAAATGATAAAAACACCGACATATAAATTGTATGCATCTGAAGCGCTTCAACTTTCAATTTGGCTTTGATACAGCTAAAATGACCGATCGCTCATGCCATCAATTGACTCAAGTTAACAGCCACTCGCTTGCAGCAATTGCATTAACAGCCACTAACCCGATAATATACAAAAACCACAAATTGCTGTTATCTGTAAACAGGTTTTTAAAAGCCTAACATGAACAGCTACTACCTGACAAAAAAAACCTTCTCTTCTGATTCGTTGCTTGTAACATAAATCTTGCATTTCAATTTGAAATGTGAATGGACTAATTGATGCGGATTAAAGAAGTGTTATTAACACTAAACTCTAAACAAAATATGCCAAGACAAGACAATAGACAACCTTTAACGATGTTCTCAATCCGGGTTACGGACACAAACTAGTTTCCTGAGATCGCCACTCTCCTAATCTCGAACAGTTTGACGTTGTCTATTATATTATATATTTTTTTTCAATTGGAAATTGTCGAATACTTTTATAGAATTTTCTTTTTATAAAGACGAAGAGGGTAACATCGTATATTTCTATATGATAGCAACAGTAACTTTGAAATGTATCCAAAAGGCATGACCATTTTTAAATCGGTAGTTATCTTGGAGAAATTATTTGAGATATATTCCTTTCAATATTTTTCAAAGGCTTTCACGAACATGATTTCATTGTAATTTTTCTCGCGTTTGACACAATAACTCTATTTTTCCTTGTTACGGAGTCAAACTTATATACATATTTGTACTTAGATGCGCCGAGTGTAAGAGTAGAAAATAAAACGTTCCGGCAAACAGATAAGGCAAGGAATGTACAGTGCAGTAAACAAGGTAACCCTAGTGAGTACACATATTTCAAGTGTTATCATGTGTCTTTTTATGATGTTACAATTCGAGAGTTGACGATCGGACAAAATGGAATTTTGGCACTTCCTGAAATATCAACGGAATTTGTCTACCAGGACAGTGGTATATATACGTGTACAGTTGGAAATGGGATTATGGGCACAAATGGACAAGAAACACAATCAGGATATGGATTTGTTAAAATCAATGGTAAGCTTGTATTTAGTTTGATTTGAAAAAAAAGACATTTAGGATAGTTTTGTTTCAAGGTCTAGCAAGAAATATTATTGATAGCATTGACACATACTTTATAATTAGATCCAAACTAAAAAAATCGTATGTTGCAAAAAAAAAATATTAATCATTCTTACTTTCGACACGTTTTTTTAGTAAGATGTATTTGGATAAGAATCAATTACTTAACATTTTTTCTCAGTCCTTTAGGCAAACAAAAGGAGTAAAAATAGAGATCGAAAACAGCCTTTCTATAATTGATGTATTCTTAAAGACATATAACCTGCATAGCGGCAAATTATGATACTCGAAGATGGCACAGCCAATAGATGATGAAAGTACGTTCTTATGTTTATCAAATCCACGAATCAATATACATTTGTACTTGTCAGGACTAAATACATTTACAGCAAAAATTGTTCAAATATTCTAAATATATATATATGTTGTTTATCAGCATATTTCCATTTCTATTGAAATTATAGCACAGCCAGTTTTCGTAAAAGGTAATGATCAGAAAATTATTGGTGTTGGGAAGAAGTGTTGATGTCAATCTTTACGTGTTTAGTGAACCTAAATATACCACAATCAGATGGTACAAAAACACAACCATTCTGAAACAGTCAGTTAAATACAGTTTGACTGAAAAAAATGATGATTGTGAATGACGATTTCCATGGTAGAGAGGTACAACTTGATGGACACAGACTGACTTTGGTTATCAATAGGTTGAGATTTGAAGATGCAGCTGTTTACAAACTGCAATTGTCAAATGGGATAGGAAACTTAGTCGAGCACAATCTTATTCTAGAAATAGGACGTAAGTTTTACCAAAGGATTAGATTGAACACGAAACGTATCCAGTTACAATTAAAATGAATGCTTTGATAAGATCAGACAATAAAATTTGTTTTAATAATTTTCACAACTAGGCTGCAACTCTATTCTGATATAGTTGTTCAAAATGAGTAATTTATTAACACAATATACCAGTCTAATTATTGTGTACTTTATACATTTCGTAAACTATTTTGCTTTTATAAGTCAGTTATTTCCTGTATTTAGATATTCCACAAACGCCTACAAATATCACGGTCGTGTCTGTTGAAGAAACAAGCTTGACAATACAGTGGGTCCATGTGGATGATATAGAATTGCATCTAATGTATCAAATAGAATATAAACTGTCTATATCATCAACCTGGATTCACAAAGAAATGATTTCAAAAGAAACAGGCAAAAAAGAACAACTATATACATTGACTGGTTTACAAACGTCAGCTTATTATGACGTTAGAATTTTAGCGGAAAACAGATTCAACAAAAGTTTACCATCAACAGTTATCACAGCACAGACTCTAATTAAAGGTAAAATGTATTTGATAATATGCCTTATGTTCAAAAAATGTCTTTCAGCATGTAATTTCAAAATCATCGCACAACATACTTGTGTACTATAATTGAACTGTTGTTATCTTTGCTAAATCATGAGTTAAAATTAGATTCAGCCGTAATGTCAAAAAACGATTGCGGCCATGTTTATCAATGTTTACTAGCTTCAAGTTTTGAGCAGTTCAGTCGTCACCAACAGCAAATTTCATGAAGGAACATGTACAGTCATAACGGAAAAAATTATTTAACACATCACTATCTACCGTTTTACAATCTAGAAAACAATCTCGGACTTCTAGTTTTTGGATATTTTTATATTTTTTTTTACTCATGGACAGCATCGAGCAAAGTTTTGTTATGGTTTTTGCACATTTACGTTGAATAACATTAAAGAGTATATTACTTCTGAAAGAACGTTATCTAAAATTTCAACTACGTTCATGTAGAGTCGCAAGATTGGTTTATCTTACAAAAATTCAAATGCGATTGTATCGCGGTTTTCTGTGTAAAACTAAATGGCAGTTTCAAAATAAACGTGAAAAAGACTAAACTTGATAAAAACTAACCCATAAACTGACACAAATACGACTTTTGGAGGTAACAATCGATCACATCACATGAATTGAAATTTTGTACAGTACATCGATGTACATGTAACCTCTTAATTGTAATATCTCATAAATGCATCTATGTATTGTAATCCTTCCCTTTTTTACCAGGTTGACGGGAAAGTTTTCATGGACTGAAATCATTCTCTATAGATCGCAGTGTTCTCTTTTTCTAGTGTCAACATAACTGAAATATTTACTATCAAATATAAAAGACCGATTTACACCGAAATTATTTAAGAGATCACTCAGAAGGTATTTGTTATTTTTAATGAGAATATACAAAGTTACAAATGTTTTGATAAGCAACTTTCAGCTTGATCGATTTTCTTTTATCGAATGGCTTGGTATTTAGATTTAGACCTTTATCTATCCAGAATTAATATGATATTTGAAAGGGCGTATATCCTGGATATACAGGACGTAAAAACATCATTCTTATTAAATGACTCTTATTCTCTCAGTGATCAGTTTCTTATAAGACATTTCTGATCAATGATTTTGAGAAAACACAGTTAATGCTATACAGTCTGTAAGCAGTTCGATGGTAGCTTTGGGAACATCTTCTACTATTATTACCATTGTAGCTTGGCTTGTAGTAGGTAAATATCATTATTGTTTGGTTAATAATATGTCGTCTTCGTTTACTGTTTATTTCACTGTCTGTAGAAATATCAAAATCTTTTTTTGTTTATGTTTTCTCACCTCTATGCGTTCCTGATGAAGGAACATCCAGAAATCAAACATTGCAAAATTGTAACGACAATTAACAGTTTAGATTCCTAATTTAGGAACACCCGTTGAAGAAAATTAACGTCTTCACGAACATCTTAGTGTTTTGTTTACGCTTGTTTCTTTTTATATTTTTTTTAACAGTAGTCAGGATTTAACAATACCCCCACAATCACCACCTGACTATGTTCTGTTGGGTAAACATTGAATTATATGTACAAGATGATCCATTTTGTTTTTTAAAGTCATAACTATTAAACAAGAATATAGTTACTCAAAAAAGGCTACTCACACTCACACTCACACTTTCACTCACTTCTAATACACAGCCACTACAAGCTTACCATTAGTATGAACGCATGTCTACACATAAGGTAAAATACAAATATCAACTACTCGCTACAGTATAATTTAAAGTATAAATGATGATAAATCATGAAAATATTTTGTGTAGTGGGGACCAGAATTTTTCATAAGCATTTGCTCTATCATTTTTTTTTTTGCAATATAAAATTCATTAGATTAGTATTGTTTTATTCTGGATTTTAGTCATATTACACTAAGAGCTATCTTTCTTAACTTACATCTGGAGATGTAGATTTAAGCTATAATAATTAACAAATTTATAAACAAATGTCTATATACCAGCTTTGATTACTTGGAATTACTACAAATTTTCACTTCTTCGTACAATGAACATCAAAATTATTTCATTTCTCCTTAAAAACTGTTCTTGCACCTGTACAGGAAGTTTTATCTAGCACTTATAATATAGTTTTATTGTTGATATTCACCCCATATGTACCAAGTGTAAGATTAGTTTTATTGATATTAAAGAAATTTCTTGGTATTCCTAAACGGAAGATTTTATACACACAGAAGAAGAAGTATACTTAACAACAAAATTATTTTCATTTACCTGTGTATAATATGACGCAGGTTTTTTTCAAAAGTGATGATTTTCTAAAAATTGTTTTACATTTCACATTGGTATCATACTTTAACTTTGTTTAAACCTGTTTATTTACTTTTGATTTTAATTATTTATCCCTTATAATTTTTATTAACTATGTATTTGCATTCAGGTATCACAGATCAAATTTATTCGTTCATTGTGTGTTAATTTGCGTTTTTTGATTGAGTTAAGCCTGCCAATTGATATTTTATAGTGATTTTATTGTGATGTTATACTATTGTTTCAGAAAAGGGAGAAGGTTTGGTACCATTAAAACGTTTAATCCCGCTGCAAATGTTTGCACCTGTCCTAAGTCAGGAATCTGATGTACAGTAGTTGTCGTCTGTTTATGTAGTTCATACGTGTTTCTTGTTTCTCGTTTTTATATAGATTAGACCGTTGGTTTTCCCGTTTTAATGGTTTAACACTAGTAATTTTTGGGACCCTTTATAACTTGCTGTTCGGTGTGAGCCAATGCTCCGTGTTGAAGGCCGTACCTTGACCTATAATGGTTTACTTTTATAAATTGTTACTTGGATGGAGAGTTGTCTTATTGGCACTCATACCACATCTTCCTATATCTATCTCTTTCTTAGTGATGCTGAATTGATCATCAGCTAATTTGATTTTCTGTAAAAAAGACAACCAAAAATTGAAGGTAACATTACAATCTTAAAACCTCATAGACGGTACATAGACTTGTTTCTTTTTGCTTAATTCTCTATAAAAATGTATTTGTAGATATAATTTTATGTAATACTTTATACTGAGCATCCTTTAAATATGTATCTCAACAACATCTTTTCAGAATAGAAAAACACTAAGACCATTTTAAGGTTTCAGAATTTGTTACTTCCTCTCATTTTAAAAAAAATCTCATTTTCGGAATATGCATATTTTATGTACATAAATTTCAACTTCTTATTTTCCAAAATCTGTTTAGAAAATGCACCAAAAGGAACAAAATTTTAAAAGTTCAAGTTACGATAATCTTTGATGTATATTTAAATATATTTTGGAATGATAGATAATAAACTGTAGTTATTTATTCAATACTAAGTTGATGTCTTACTTGTTGAAATGTTTACAATGATTTGCTTTGACTATCTACAATTTCATTTATAAATTGTATACCATATACCTTCCATTTCATATGAACAGGATATACAAACGCTGGTATAAATTTTAAAACATCCAATGATATTCTGGAACAAATAACTTTGACATGTGCAGACAAGAAATATGTCTTTCCAAAATGGATTTTTAAGCAATTAGAAATTTCTTTAATCTTTTCATTTCGTAATGTAAAGACTCTGTTACCATCAAACTGTTTTGGTTCTGCAAGGAAAAAAATCTTCCAAGTACCGTCTGATTTTGATAAAAATCTCTTTATCTAAGATAATTCAAGATACGTACAGAAAGACTGCAGTGCACCATATTTAATCCTCCTTGTGAAAAATCTGCATTAAGAGTACATGTACTACGCTTGACTCTATCAGTCTTGCCATTCCAAATAAAAATTTTTTAAAAATAGTACTTAATTGAAAATCAGGCAAATTCGACAGAGCAGTCAACAAATGAATTAATCTTTGCAATGCCAAAGTCTTAACTACAGTAATTTTGCCTATTACTGTTAGTTGAATTTCTATGTTGCCAGCTTTTAAGTGTAACTGAAACCTCTTTGAGATATCGAGAATACAATTCAAATCAAGAGAAAAATCTATTTCTAAAAGTCAAAAGTTTGTATAAAACCACATAAGATTGTAATTAGGACATGATATGTGATCAGAATATTTTTGTCACCAATCACAAGAGGTCTTGGCTTTGGTGTGTTCATTTTTAATCCAGAAACATGTGAAACGAATCAAAAGAATTGAGGTTTTGTTGTAGGAATGTCTCACAACCATCTAAAGTAAGAAAAGTATCATCTGTATACCGACTTAAAAGTTTTTGTTTAACATTGATGAGGATACCTTGAAAATTGGGATTGGACTTAAGTTTCAAAGATAATAACTCTACATCGATTACAAACAAATAAGAGGAGAGCGAATCTCCTTGTCGGCAACCTCTTTCACGATTTAAAAAAAAATCGATAAATGGCCATTGTTGATTACAAACTTTTAGCACTTTTGTAGAGAGTCATGAACCATCTGCACATTGAAGGACCAAAATTAAAACTTTTTAACGCTTGTTAGTACACGGTAATAAAAGGTAAATAGACGATAAAGACACATTTATTTTAGTCACATAACAGTATTAATTTACTGGAGTAAAAGACATGCACAAGGAAGAAAACTATTAACAGTATCATATTTTTTCTGTAGCGACCTAAATATCCTGATATGACCAGCCTAGTCTAATAGAGTTAAAGAACCCGCTATATAATAATCTCGTTGTTCAAAAACTTTATTATAATTGATCGTATTACAATATTTACGTGTTACTAACTAGTGATTGCAAGTGAGGTATATAGTAATACATTCGTAAAGGGAGTTTTTTTTTTTTGCTTTACCCTATAACACTATGTTTTCAAACGATATTTAAGACAGCGAAAAACGAATTTTAAGCTTTATAGGATTGACAGCTTTATTTCCATTGATTTGAATTACGAATAAATATAAATGTTATTTCCCTGTAGAAGAGAAATTTACGTAGAGTTTTGCAACAGTGAGAAATTTAAGCGTATCAAACATCCTTTATGTTTTACAAGAGAGTTGATTGTGTACGATGTCTTGTCTTAGGACATTACTACAGAGAGAATATTCAAATTATAAAGGACAGTAAAAGATAATGTGAAACACTAGATAAATAAATATATTTTTTTAGGTTTATTTTGGTTCAAACGAAAATCACCCATCAAGACTATAAGGTAAACGATTAATAAATATATATGAAAACGATAAAGATATATACTTTTAACTTGATATGTAATGGTCCAAAATATCAACCGAATATCAACAAAAATGAGACGAAAAGTCGTCCTGTTGGTCAGAAATGTTTACATAAAAAGTATGATTTAATACAAGGATCATATCTAAGGAGGTGTTTGGTGTGTATAAATTTCATCAATTTCATTTCTCCCAACAAACACAAACATTTTCAAACATCCTCAAAAGAGGGAACAAAGCAGACCAATTGCTTTGCTGTTATCTGTTTGCATTTAAAATAAGTTTTACAAAAACTATTTTTAGTTACTTATATTACTTTACGATGACAAAAAAACAGACATATATATTACCAGATGTACCAAAATACGATTTTATTAAAAAGGTAATTTCAGATTTGATTTTATGAAGTTCTTTGTCTTTGATACACTTTTACGCATTTCGAAAATTTATGTTTCAACAGTGGTGTTTCCGACAAAGTTTTGGAAAATTTATGTTTCAACAGTGGTATTTCTGACAAAGTTTTGGAAATCAAGAAGTAACAATATAGCTGAAAAAGCACCATTTAAAGACGCAAAAAATCTAAGTATGATAACAATAGTATACATTAGATCTCAATAACTAAAACTAATTTGTTTAGAAATAAAACAGATTTTTTACAACAACATCTTAACACCCAAATGTATGATGTAGTTACAGATTCTACAAGGATTAAGACAGGTAATATTGATACAATAATGGTAATAATTTTTTATAAATCTCAAATCACCGGTTATTGTACCTGCTTGGAAATAGCAAACGAAATATAATTCTATTTTCGTGACACAATTTACACGGTTTAATAATCGTGTATGGCTAGAATCTTGGATGGCATATAATGCATCATTATCATTTAATATAAAAAGAAGAAGTTGTATGATTGCCAATGAGACAACTCTCCACAAGAGACCAAATGACACAGAAATTAACAACTATAGGTCACCGTACGTCTGTACTTCGGCTCTACCTAAAGAAGGGTTTGCATGTACGTGATATTTGTTTTATCTTTCATATTTTCATGCAAGTTCTTTTTGCAAGCCTTGTCAATTTTCAAGGTTATTTGTTTCTGATTATATCGATAAAATCGTAACCAGTGAAATTTTAGAGTGTAAAATAAATAGCCTTATAGAATGACCTGTAAAATATATTTCATTTGGTATCCTTTGTTTTATCTTAAATACATCAGAATCTTAGATTGGTTTTCATTAAAACTAGTCTGATCGTGATGACTGGAATATTTACTTTGTGCACGCACCTAGTATCAATATGTGCCACTCCGTATGCCTCCGCGTCATTCCGTATGCCTCCGCGTTACATTTAATACAAATCATGTTACAGTCGCTGTTTGAAATACTAAAGGGGTCTATCTGAAGGTTCCTCTTTCCTGTTTTCTCTTTTGGAATTTGTTCTATTTTCAAAAAAATTCTAGCCTGAACGGGGTCCTGTTTCACAAATGATTTTACATACATTCCAGATCAACCAAGAGATATAAGTGATACGTAAGTACCGTTTTTATCTTTTATAAAAGAGCACTATATAATGTTCGCTTTCAAATATTGATATGATTGTCGCTTTTAACAATTTTTATTTGATTTTAACCTTAACATCTGATAAGATTCTTCTAAATATGCATTTTTGATAAATCGCCATTGCCATTTGTTTATGAGATCAAAATATGCATTTAGCTAAATATAATTATATGCCAAATCAAAGTTAGTGTATTTTACTTAACTGCCTATCTTATAATTAAAATTCTAAATGTCTGACTGTTATCATTTTTAATTTTTTAACCTTACTTTAAGAAAATGTTCAACTTTGATAGAACCTATGGAAATAAGAAGTTTTTGTAACTGCGAACATTCCTTGATAAGGCATTGTTTCATTGTTTTTTTACACCGGTATTCTAATGTAAAGCGGCTTTGTCTCGTGTATTTTTGTGGTTTTCTACTCATAACAACTGGAAAGCATTTATAGCTTAATGACAAGTTTATCCCAACCCTATGTTTATTTGCCTTTTCCAAGTTAAGAGCTTAGCTAGTCAGTAGTTCATTTATATCTTTTGAAATCGACCTTGACATAAATGATATCACAGAACCAGTTTATTCAGCCTCATATCTTGACTTACATCTAAAAATTGACAATGAGGGTTGGTTGAGAACAAGACTTTACAACAAATTGGATGATTTTAGTCTCCAATTGTTAATTTTCCATTTCTATGAAGCAACATTCCAGCAGCATCTGCATATGGATTATATATCTCCAAGTGGACAGGATACCCCAGACCTTCCGCTTCCTATTATCATCCCTTTAATAAAGAGTTACTGCTTTCAAGACGCTATTGAACCAGTGGCTCCAAGTTGTAAAGTTGGCAGAGCTTAACAGACGACTGTATATTGAAGATTATTGAACACAAAACGTTAACCAGATTATGTTGGTGTTTGTGTCTTTGAGTTGTTGTCTTACATCACAATTTAGTAATAGTGAACAATTAAAAAAAATATACTTATCAACTTGAAGGAAAGCCCGTCAAACAATAAAGACTTAAAAGACTATATCGAATCATATTTCAAATCAACAAAGATTTCCATTATTCAAAAAAATGTTAAAACCTAAACCAATGTCGACCATACGGTCTACTTTCTACTAAACATTTTATTCTTTGCTATACAACATTAAATTGTCTACAATAAATCAAAATGAATTTTTACTAGTAAGCCTGTAATGAATATATGCACAAACTTTGCAGTTCAAAGGCAGCCTACGAAGCTCTTGGTTTGAAAGATAAGCCAAATGTTTATAGTGAATTCAAGTAAAAGGTATGTATTTAAGTTATGTTTTTGTAATGATTAAACAGTCTGAACAAGAATATAACATTCAAGGTCATGCAATGAGGTAACCTTTTCATGTGAAGGTATTGGTTTAAACTTCATGTCCCTGATTCCGATCGTCAGAAACACTACATTTATTCCAACGTTAAGATATGCATTTTATTGTAACTGTAATTGAATAAGTAAAGTATTGACTGCGTTTTCCTTCCGTTTTAATAAGAGAAATATGACTAATGGGAAAAAACATATCTTATGTAAACGTGTAATAAACTTTGATTGAAAACAAAACTTTATAAATTTTTATCCGTCTGAAGCGTTTTTCTGGATTGAACTTTATCGGGAACGCTCAAAGCCGAATATTTGAAAACCAAAGATGTATAAGAACTGAAACAGTTGAAGAGCGATGTGACCAAAGAGCGGACCAAAAAAACGGACAATTTACTCAAGTCTCCATGGTAGTTCTTACAAGAATGAGAAAAAACTGAACTCTTAGGTGTCCTGAATCAGGAGAAAGATATTGTGGTATACTGCCACATCTGGTCTATTATATATATATATATATAATTTATGATTAACCTATTGCACCCCTTGACAATTCTTTTCTTTACATGCAGACTTAGCAAATCTAATATCGAACTATATTCATATACCCAACATACATATTATTAATGCAATGGTTAATCTGTATCTGCAAAGGTAGCTCAAATAAAAAAGATTGATTTATTTATTAGTATTTGCCTAACGCCGCTTTAGTAAACAAAGTGACAAAATAATGTTAGAAGAAACCAATACTATATACATACATTGTACTTTGAAAACACATATATGGAAAAAAGTTGATTCTTCCAAAAAATGAAAATATTTAGGATTATTTTATTTTAACAATTGGATATATATATTCAATGTATGTTTACTATTAATGTTCTTTATTCAAATATCTTTTTTAGGATCAATGATAGCAGCCATGCCATGTTTTAATCAGATCAACATCCTGTTTTTCCAAATTTCGAAATATACATGATATTCTTTGATATTAGCACTGCGAAAAATCAACAGCATATGTAAAGGATAGAATGTTCAAAACACAGTTATTATTTTCGAATTATAAAACGTATTTACAAATAAACTTAATGCGTTTGTATAGAACATGAAGCTTTATTTGCAGGTTTTTGTTGCCTTCAACAGTTTATATAATAGTATTTGTGCTATCATTCTAATACAACATTTGCAAACCAAGAAAGCAGCTAAACTGACAACACCGCTCATATGAATAGACGCCATTTTTAAAGCATTCTGAGAATAACTTTGTAAATAATTGAAGTTAAACTGCTGTTAACTAAATTTGTATGTAATTAATAATGCATGTTCCACTAAATAGCCTATTTAAATGTAATTTCTAAATCAGACTATTATAACAGACAATTACAGTTTGGATTAGTTCTGATCCTGTTTAGAACTGTTCTTAACAGTTCTAATCTGGAACAGTTCTAGGGAAAAATAAATAGAATCAGTTTTAGGGTAGAACTATAATGATCAACTCTAATGTAGAGTTGTCCAAATCTGTTCAAGGATAGACCTGGTTTTCCATGTTGTATTTTTGTGTATTGTTGTTTATCTGTTGGTCGTTTTTTTGGGGGGGATTTTTACGCGGGTATTGTAAGTTAATTTTCTTCTTAAGAGTTTGAATATGCCTTAGGTATCTATTTTTCACTACCGAAGACCAAGTCTGACTTCCCTCGACCACGCTGTAGCTGCACAATAATTGAATCGCCATAATACCATTCCTGTTTGTCTTGTTATTATGTTACCGGTATTTCTTGGGGATGTGATCAGGAATATGATAATTATATTACTTTGTATATTTTTTTTTACTTAGCTTGATGTTTATCATGCTTATATCTTATACTTTCAGTTTTATTTTTTCTAATTTCTATTATTTGATTGTCATTATTATATACTAGTATTTGATTAAGAATTTTATTTCTCTTTGTAGCTTGTATGGCATAAATAATATGAATTTTTTATCTCATTTTATTACTCTACTGACGTATGGTGTTAGTAATCTTTTTGATACAATACTGACGTATGATCGAAGTACCTCAATTTGACACAATACTGAAATATGGTCTTAATTACCTCAGTTTGACACCATACTGACATATGGTCTTAATTACCTCTTTTGATACCAATCTGACTATGGTATTCGTACCTTATTTTCGATACCATACTGACGTATGGTTTAAACAGCTTCTTTTGACACCATACTGAGGTATGGGCTTATCTCCTCCTTTGACACCATTACTTCTTTTTTGATACCGTATTGACGTATGGTATAAGAACCTCATTTTGACCCCATGCTGACGTATGATCTAAGTACCTCATTTTGATACTAGTATGGTTGAATTTACCTAATTTGTTTTAAATACCATACTGACGTAATGTCTAAAGCATCTTATTTTTTATACCATACTAACATAATTATGGTTTACCTTTAACAATTATTGGTAGAAATCTGATTAGAAACTTATAATATGTATGTATGTAAGAGCCTTACATTTTCTTTATTTTATCAATGGCTATTTTGATACAAAAATTTAGTCAATCTCTATATCTCTTCATTCCTAGTTTCTCCCTTTTCAAATGGGGAACATTATACATTATTGGTTTTTACTGTGTTTTATATAAGTCCCCAGTTGCCATTTTGTAAATAAATTTACATGTTTTTATATTCTTAAATAAATAATAGTTTAGTACTTAGTTTTTTTGTAAATATTAGTACACTTTTCGTTGTACTTAGTCTATTACAAACTGTAGACATGTGTTTCTGAAGAATTGAAGTTTGGGTTTTTGTAAATGACACAGCAAATAAAAGCAAGAATTGTTAATTTTGTATTTAAAGAGAGGATATTGGCTAAATGAAAGAGACACTATAATATTAATATTAGATATAACTAATACTAGCTTATATGTATTTTTTTTTTTTAGCTTTTTGGTTCACCCTTTAAGTTCTAGAAGTTTCAATACCTTGCACATTTTGGCTTAGGGAATTACAGTTTGTGTCTAGTTCTTGCTTTTGTTTTTTCTCGCTATATGATTTGTCTAAAACAAATGAAGTAATAAACATTGGAAAAATGTGTTCCTATTGAGCCCTAAAGACAAATTCCTAGTAAGAAAGTACCAAGATAAGATATAGGAAAAGACGAAATGGAATTTATTTGAAATGATCAGATGTAAATGGACAAGTTGAAGTTTTGTAATAATGGTTTGTTTTAACAATTAAAAAACTAAATGTTTAAATTACTGTATCGTTTATAAAGTATATAGAAAGTACTAGAAATTGACTTCTTCGTAACATTTTAATGCATAAGTACAATGATAAAGAATTTTGAATATCTTCATTTGATTTGTATTTCTAGAAAAAAAATAATAAAACAATACAAATTTAGGTACATCTTAGATGGTTTTGATTTTTTATTGAATTTATACATTTGATTAATAATTTATACCTCCAATAGATAACCCAATCTAGATAGTGATCTATCATTACCAGCTATAACAAGTAACGGGAGAATATAATACAGATTTAAAATAACGATACAACATCCACATATAGTAGTCTCAGATGTATATGTTTGATGGCAATGAATGTGTAGATTTTCATCATTTTTTAACTACCAACTTTTTACAGATCCACTATCATTTTTTAAATAATGATTTTGTTGAGAATTTCTAAAATGTATCCCTTACTGGAAATAAATCTAAAGCTGATTGTGAAAGCAAAAGCCCCTCAATGTTTTCTCTAAAAAGCTAATTTCTTCAAAATGTATATCACAATAGGGAGAAATTTGTTCAAAGATACTAAACGGATGTTCAAGCTCATAAGTCAAAAATAGACTGACAACGCCATAGAAAAAAAAAACTCTAAAAGACAAACAACAGTAAACAAACCCCTCTAAAAACCTGGGTTGATCTCATGTGCTCCTGTAGGGTAAGCAGATCCTGCTTCACGTGTGGTACCCCTATAGGGCATAAAATTTGATCAACAAAACATACGAATTGACGTTAATGCTTTAAAATTGAAGAGGCAGTATCAACGGGTTTCACAGAACAATTGGTTGACAATTTTTTTTCAAGAATATAGAACATTTTGTAAATGAAATACAAATGAAAGCTATTTTGGTGCAAATCTAAACATTCTTTTCGAAATAAATTCATATGAAAACATAAAAATACGTGTTTACTGAAACGGTACATAATCCAAAAAGACCGACAACTTTGGCGAATTCGGTTAAAATGTGTGATCTTATAGATAAAAGTTTTTGCGAGATTCACGATTATTATAGGGAAACAGTACCGGTAGACGTGTTTAAGTAATGGTTATACACTGAGGGATATGGCGTATCTGGATACGAAACCCCTCCGGCGATAGAAACTATAAAGTACAACAATGGCACTGGGGTATAAAGTCCTTAATGAACTTAAATTGGCAAAGAAATTACAAAACTTCATCAAAATGAGCGTAACAGATGAATGAGTTTTTATTTTGACTAGCACGTAAATTTCTTTTAGAGATACGATGAAATAAATGGGAGTGTGAGTGTGTAGTAGACGTCATATTCATGATTTCAGCAACATTGTCATTCAAAACATAAGATAAGTGCAGAAAATGAGATTTTACGGAAGATTAATTCCCTGTTCACCAATGTAGTCATAATGAAGAGAGCAAAACAGAGTTAGACATAGAAATGAAATAAACAAAATAATATAAAAAAACCCAAACAAACTGCTACAACATGATTTATACATTTCTCAATTGGTTTTCGGTCGATAGCATTAAAAATTTGCTGGTCATTTATAACAATTAGTAATCATTACCTATTCCGTGCCTCGTGAAATCTCAATAGAAATTCTTTTTATTTAGTACATACAATACTTTAAAAAGTGTAATAATTCTACTAATTGATTGTTGAATTCTCCGGAAAAAA